CTTCTAAAGGTTTTTGATCGGTTGCGGAATTCCAATAATTTTGATACAACCCGGATTTGTGTCCATCTGCCTTGCTTTCAATGCTTTTCTGTTTACCGATAAGACTTTTTCCATGTGGGCCCGAATGGATTGTGACGTCCCCAATTGAAGACTCAAAAGTGTGTGTTGCCTCCCCTCCTGAAGTTTTGCCAAGCGCCTCTCATTTTCCTAAGCCTGACTACAACTTGACGCCTGTTACAGTCTATGATATAGCTGCCATTGTTTATTTTGCCCCTTGGAGCATGGCAATATGTGAGATGGATCCCTACACTCGACCATCACATACACACTTTAAAGTGGCGGCTTCAAGTGTACCTCTCTTACACAGTTGTGTGATTGAGTAAATTCACTTTCCACTGAACCATAATGGGACACTCTATTTTGCCGAATTCGTCATTCTTCGATAATGTCCAAATAGAATATCCTGTTGCCATGCCAGCCAGCCCGACAGGATTTGCAGCTTCTCTTGTGAAAAGTCAGTCTGCTGTCTGAAGCTTCTGGGAGGGCTAGAAATGCCCCCTAGAGTTGCGAACCTGGTATCTGTGGCTGTCTATGACTGAGTCTAGAACAAGCAAAATTCTTCCTCAATTTCTACCCACGAAATGGCTGATCTTTTAAGTTTATGGGGTAGTTCAACAGTCAGAACCTCGTTCCTTAGGCTGAGGTAGAGATGAAAAAAGTGTTCTTCAAAGGCTCTAAAAACAGCATGTCATCACGGGCTAAGTCGACGTGAAAATGCGTCTGGGTCAGATGGCTTCGGATCAAATGCCCAAGACCAATTTCAGGCCAGTGATAAGACCGTCTCAACGTCCCGTTGATTTGACTACACGGCCTGTGACAACCACAATTCCTTGTGCTGCTTGGTGCATTCTTCCGACAACTATCTCCTCTGTCTAGACGGCAATCCCTCGTCCTGCTTCTTCTCGGCCTGTTAATACCTCTTGCCATCACAGTCACACCAGCCGCGGCATCATTCACATTCACGACCGGGGGCGCTGGAGTGAAAACGGGCCAGATCACAGTTCCCCGCGGGGGGCACTGAGGCGTCTGAAAAGAGGGGCGAGGCGAGTTGGTGTGATGAGATTGGGGATGGT